CATACATGCATATAACTTCCTTGGTTAATCTCTTTCCACCCTCCACCCCCCTTCCCTCTTCCCTCTGAAATATGATCGTCTGTTACATGCGTCAATGTCTCTGGATCCATTTAGTTCATCATATTCTCTTGTTCATTAGCTGCTTGTTAAAGAAGACCCTTCAACATTTTCTGTAGTGCTGGTTTGGTGGTGATGAACTCCTTTAGCTTTTCCTTGTCTGAGAAGCTCTTTATCTGACCTTCAGTTCTAAATGATAGCTTTGCTGGGNNGCTGATTTGTAAGTTGATTTCTTTCCCCAGGTAGGGGAAGTTTTCTGTAATTCATTTTTCAAATAGGTTTTCAATTTCTTGCTCTCTTTTTTCTCCTTCCAGTACCCCAATAATATGAATGTGGGTGCCTCTTGAAGTTGTCCCAGAGGCTTCTTATACTATCTTCATATTTCTGGATTCTTTTTTCTTTTTGCTCTTGTGGTTGGGTGTTTTTTGTTCCCTCATGTTCCAGATTGCCGATTTGATTCTCAGCGTCCTCTACTCTACTATTGCTTCCCTGTAAATTATTCTTCGTTTCAGTTCGCGTAGCCTTCATTTCAAATTGGTACTTCATTATGTCATCAATTTTCTCAATTGTTTTTGTCATACTCTTACTAATATCCTTGAGCATCCTTATAACCATTATTCTGAACTCTGTATCTGTTAGCTTGCTTGGATCTATTTCATTTAGTTCTTCTTCTAGAGCTTTCTTCTGTTGTTTCCTTTGTGACATGTTTCTTTGCCTCTGCATTTTGGCTGCTTCCAGGTGTTTGTTTCTATGTATTAGGTAGAGCTGCTATGTTTCCTGGAATTTGTAGAGTGGCTTTGTGTAGTAGGTGTCCTGTAGGGCCCAGTGGCTCAGCCTCCCCAGTCACCTGAGCTGGGCCTTTTAGGTGCTCCCCTGTGTGGGCTGTGTGCACTGTCTTGTTGTAGTTGAGCCTTGGTTGCTGTTGGCATCACTGGGAGGAATTGACGCCCAGGCCAATCGGCTGTGAGGACCAGCTGCAGCTACAGCCAGAGAGCTGCTGTGCTGGAGACACCCCGGTCTCGGTGCTTCTTCAGTTCTCTGGTTGTAGTGCTTCTGTTCATCCAGATTTCAGGAGGTTCTGAGTGATGGTGGTTCTGTATTTTAGTTGTAATTTTGATGTGGTTGGGGGAGGCGGCCGGTTCAGTTGCTACCTACGCCACCATCTTGTTTCCTCCCCTCTGTAGTAATTCTTTTTGATTGTGTATATTTATTATGATCTTTCAGATACTTCTGATGAGCTAAATAAATTTTATATCTAAAGCTCATTTATTCCTTTGAATGATTTATTCTTTGCTGCAATGCATTGTTAATGTTTGTTACTGTTTTTTTTAATTTCAATTAATCCTGCAAATAAGGAATTAAGGCCTTACAAAATCTTCTGTAGAGATGTGCTATTTTTCTACTGTTGTTCCTCTACTATATGTTTTTGTTTTGCTTCAGTTTGTTTGAAAACTCAAAGTAGAAGGAACTTAGAATTTATTTCATTCAATTCTCTATAGTTAGGTAAATGCTAAAATCCTATAAGACAATGCTATTCTCTTTTTAATGATTTTTTATTTTACATGAAGGGTCCATGATTTCTAGGTATCAATCTCTCATAGTAAAGTAATTTTGTGGTAAAGTAGTTTAGCTTTATTTCCTCTTAGTTTGTGTGGTTCTTGAACAAAATTTATCAGTGTTTATTCTCAAAATTACCCACATTAATATTTAGTCCAAATTGCAGTAGAAAAGATTAACCTGAATTACAAATTTTTCAAACAAATATGTTAAAATTACTTTTTTGATTTTTACTGCACATTACAAACAAAAATATAAAAGATCTTTAAGTTAATAAAAATGCAACTTATCAAATACTTGTATTTTATATTTTACCAAAATTGTTATATATTTCAGTTATTTCTAGATATAAAGGGAGCACGCTTTATAAAGTACCTTCAAAATGAATATCTCGAAAATGTTAAAAGATATTTAAGAGATTGTCAAGTACAGTCTCAAATGTTTTAATTTGTGTTCTTTCAGGATGATCTTGAAGACCTTATTGTTAATTGGGATGAGAGCAAAAGCATTGGTGACATCTTTCTTAAATATGTAAGTATTTTATTTCTTTTTAAAATTTGCAGATTAAAGTATCATATCATAAAGGACTGGAAGGAAATGAAAGTTACCTGTTTAAATGTGAGAGCTTTTAAAACTTTGACAGCATTGTGTTTGTAAAATGTAAAATTTAACACTTTCAATAGCTCAAGGTCATCATTAGGAACAGTTGTACTGTGCTATAATTGTTTTACTATGTATCCAGTTATTTGCCCTTCACAAATGGCCATAGATTAATGATTTTTTTGAAATTTTCTATAATTGAGTTTTTTTTATTTTTCCTTAGTTGATACTTTTTTCTGATACTTTTTTTTGTCTACTCTTTATAAAAGCTTCTGATGGACTGCTTCTCTTTAGGAGAAGAACAGCATAACTTAAGTTTTTCAAATAAAGTAAATTCATTTTGAATGAGGTGATGTGAATAGGGTTTATAAATTTCTTTCAGTCTTTTGGAATATGATTTGTAAGTTTCAGTGCCTTGGGTTCTGGCACATTTACTTTTGTTTTCTGAGGCCTTCTAACTTCCATCCTTTACCATGAGATCTTTTTCTGGTTTGTTGGGAATTCCAAATATACAAATTATTCTCACATACCTTTTTGATACCTGTTAGTGTCCTCAATTAACCGAGACATTTTTCCTTTTCTTGTTTGCATTTTTGGGTGATATAGTTGATCTTTTAATGGTGGTTTGGATACTTCAATACATAATAGCATGTTCTTGGGTTCTGCATAGATCAATTCTAATTACTATATTCTGAACTTACAGACTTTTTTCATTATGTTTCGGGTGTACAACATAATTCAGCATCTGTATACACTTACAAAGTGATGACTAAAAAGTCTAGTTATTATCCATCACCATGAAATTGACCCCTCTTTCATTCACCCCTGACTCCCCTTCCACTTTGGTAACTACTGCTCTATTCTCTGTATCTATGATTTTGTTTTTGTTTTGTTTTGTTTGTTGATTTCTCTCTCTTTTTTTTTTTAAAGATTACACATATGAATGAAATTATATGGTATTTGTCTTTCTCTTTCTGACTTATTTCACTTAGCATTATACCCTCAAGTTTCATCCATGTTACAAATGGTAAGATTTCATTTTTTATGGCTGAGTAATATTCTACTGTATATACAGGGTGTCCCATACTTTAAGAGCTGATAGCTCAATTTTGAAAATGAAATGTATTTTAATAAATGCTGCCTTTATAATTATTCAAAGTGTGTGTATACATTTTTTTGGGACACCTTTTATAGATAACCACATCTTCTTTATCTGTTTGTCCATTGATGACCCTTAGGTTATTTCTACATCTTGACTGTTGTAAATAATGCTGCAGTGAACATAGGAGTGTGTATCTTTTTGAATTAGTGTTTTCAGATTCTCTGGGTAAAGACCTAGAAGTGGAATTGCTGGATCATATGGTAGATATATTCTTAATTTTTTGAGGAATCTCCATACTGTTTTCTGTAGTGACAATCCCACCGATAGTGTATAGAGTTCCCTTTTCTCCACATCCTCTTCAACACTTGTTATTTCTTGTCTTTTTGATAATAGTTATTCTAACAGGTGTGAGGTTATATCTCATTGTGACTTTGGTTTGCACCTTCCTAATATTTAGTGATGTTGAACAGCTTTCCATGTGCCTATTGGCCATCTGTATGTCGTCTCTGAGAAAATACCTATGCAGATCCTCCTGTCCTTTTTAAAAAAAATCAGATTTTTGTTGTTGAGTTGTATGACTTTTTATGTATTTTGGATATTAATCCCTTATCGGATATGTGATTGGCAAATATCTTCCATTCAGTAAGTTTCCTTTTCATTTTGATGATGGTTTCCTTCACTGCAGAAGCCTTTTAGTTTGATGTAGTCCCATTTGTTTGTTTTTGCTTTTGTTTTTCTTGCCTTTGAAAGAGTCAGATCCTCAAAAACATTGCTAAGGCCCATGTCAAGGAGCTTAACCTACCTACTATGTTTTCTTTTAGGAGTTTTATAATTGCAGGTCTTACATTCAAGTCTTTAATCTATTTTGAGTTAATTTTTGTGTATGGTGTAAGAAAGTGGTCTAGTTTCATTCTTTGGCATGTAGCTGTCAAGATTTCCCAGCACCATTTATTGTAGAGACCCCTTTCTCCATTGTATGTTCTTGGCTCCTTTGTCGTGAATTAAATTTAAAGAAGTTTTTAAACTTGTTATGTTTATATCAGTACAATACGTTTTAATATACTTTTGTTTCTGGTTTTTGCTTTTCAGGTTCTAGGCTGTGTGTACCCATTAATGAATTTTGTTTAGCAATTAACTCACTCATTAGTGAGAAGTTTCTAAAATAAACTTTGTATTTAACATGAGAAGAAACAAACTTTTGCACTCTCTGTCGGATTGTGGCTTGCTTATTCGACTTCAGGTTTTATTGTCTAAGGGTGAAATGCATTACAAATTAATGTGTGTGTTTTCTTTTTTTCCTAGTCAAAAGATTTGGTAAAAACCTACCCTCCCTTTGTAAACTTCTTTGAAATGAGCAAGGAAACAATTATTAAGTGTGAAAAACAGAAACCAAGATTTCATGCTTTTCTGAAGGTAATGTACATTCTTTCAAATAAAAATCTGAGAATTTCTGAAGGAGTTCATTAAAATTATGCTTTTAGTAAAAATGTATCCATGTAAAAATACCTTAATGTTACCTGTTACCTTTAGCTGTACCTCCTGAGACTGGCAGTGATGTTTAGCTTCTGACCATTCGACATACTAACTAGCAGGGTCTGAGGCAGCTAAGTGAATGGGAACGTTGTTTATGGTTGTTTTTTTTAAAGTTATACATGTTTTAGTTCTCAAACACATAAAAAATTTCCAGAGGGATTCTCTTTTGCCTTCAATGATTTTTTTCCCTTACCAATGCCTTACTTTGTTTATCCAATGGTATCAACATAATTAATATTTTAAAAGTTTTTTTTTTTTTATGAATGATAAAGATTTAAGAGCAGCTTAAGATGGAATGTATAGTAGTGTGTAGAGGAACTTGTTTTCTGGTTAAGATGTTAATTAACCCTTGACTTGCCAGGAGGTGATTTCAACCACAGTAATCTTCCAGAGAACAACTGCCACCCTACCTCTCCTGTTAGTCATCAGGGCACTAATGATCAGGCATAATTGATAAATGTAGGATATTTGTTGTTTGTAGAAAACCTTTTAAAAAATTTTTGAATAAATTCCTTTCAGATAAATCAAGCTAAACCAGAATGTGGACGGCAAAGCCTAGTTGAACTTCTCATCCGACCAGTACAGAGGTTACCCAGTGTTGCATTGCTTTTGAATGGTACTTGTCTGATCGTTTTTCAGGCCACTTTGGATGTTTTTATGGAATTGTTTTGTTCTAAAAAATTTGAAACTCTTTGTTTTCATAATTTTCTTGGATTTCAGCATTAAAGTTGTATCTTTTACATAGAAAATGTCTTTGTAGATAATCGCTGGTGCTACAAAAATTCAGTCTGGTCTAAAATGCTTTATTTGTTCTGATATCAATTATATTGCCTAGTATTGTACTTTTCATCTCTCCGCTAAAAGTCTGTTTACATTTCATGGTGTGTCACTAATGCAAAATCAATTTACATTCATGTAAACACTCCATTCACCCATAAAATCACAAGGCAAGAGATGATTCATATGTCTCAAATTATTTGGTTCTTTTCTGAATCTTAGTAAAATTTTGTGTACTTGGTCTTATGCTTAATTTCTTAGATTCTGTAGAACACTATTGAAACATACATTGAATTTTAGAAATTAAACTACGTATATCAGTGGAAGGGAGTTTTACAGTGAAGAGTTAATTTTTATGAATAAATTTTGCTTGCAGTAAAAGACAGTTGTGTATATGCCTTTACATTTAGCTGACTCTAAAGTAATGAATATTTTTAGGGTAGTGTCAATTTTTATATTATTTAAAAAATTTAAGTTTGAAAACTAAGTTACTAACAGGAATAAGTTTGTAATAAAGCATTTTGATCCTCAAACCTTAACTGCAATAGTATGTATAGCTGACAAGGAGGCTGATTTGACTGTTTAATCTATTTTTTTCTTTAAAATATATGGGTTAACATGAATTATAGTAGTAACTTTTTGGTAATTATTGATCTCTTTATGTTTATCTAATGTAGTTTGGAATTACTAGCTTATAAAATGATATACTAGTCTTTAAAAGCTGTCCTATTTTATAGATTATAAAGAGAATATATGAGCAATCATACTTTTAACTTTACAAAGCAGTGTGTTGTTTGGGGTTTTTTTGCTTATCTTTATTATTTCATTAAGTACTTGTAGAAATTCATCAAATGTTGTCATGACTGAAATGAACTTGATTTCTAAGCCTTCTATCTTCATTTAAAAGATTAGGTGGGTGTGGTAATAGGGAGTCATTAGGTGGAATAAAGCATAGGGAACATTATGAACAACCTGGATAAGAACTGTCCAGTTAATCATGGAAAAAACATTTTTTCATTACAGATCTTAAGAAGCATACAGCAGAAGAAAATCCTGACAAAAACACTCTAGAAAAAGCTATTGGATCACTGAAGGAAGTAATGACGTAAGTGCGTTATTTCAATTTTTTATTGTTCCTTGGATTTAGAATGGAATTGTTAGAACAATTAGAATCATATATGGAGAAAAAAAAAGTATAAATGCAATGAAATTGACTTGGAGTCTTGATTGTTAAAATTGTAGACGTAGTTCTGATTAGAAATGATCTTTTCAGAGTGTTATAATCAGAATTGAAAACTATGTTGCTATTATTTTGTCTCATGGAGGGTGAGGGCACTTCAACTCTTTGGACTTCACACATCAACATATTTAATAGATTTAATTAAAAGATTTCTGAGATTCCATGAGGTGCTTCAATATGAAATAGTTTCTTAAAATACTTGCAAAGGCCCTGGCCAGTGTGGCTCAGTTGGTTGGGTGTCGTCCCATGTAGAAAGGTTGCTGGTTCCATTCCTAATCAAGGCACATGCCTAAGGGGTGGGGCCTACAGGAATCAGCAGATAGATGTTTCTCTCTCTCTCTCTGAAAAATAAAAACAATAACAACAAACAAACATTTAAAAATATATATATTTGAAAGGTGCTCTTAGCAAGGAACTTTATTAGCTGTAAGAGTGAGGGCCCAGCAGTAAAATAATGCTCAAATTAGAGTTTTATTAATTTGCTAATTTACTGTTGCTACCAGCAGTTTTATGTATGTTTTGATTTTTGCTTATGTTTATCAGCCAGCCTTCATGCTTTTGATTTAGTTTGGGGCCAGGATAATAGTTTTTTAAACACTTCATGGTTTAACAAACTCTGACACTATTTACCTTGATGCTTTCAACAACTCTGTGAAGTAGGCAGTGAGTGTTAGCATCTTTTCACAAAAGAGAAAGCTGAGAGGTTACTTGGCCAATTTGCCTGTTTACTGTGTAGCATACTCTACCACTGTCATTTTGATGATAGCATGTGCTATTTGTTATTTTTATATGATATATTTTTGTAAACAGATTATAAAGTAACCTAGCTAGGGTATGGACTAGCCATTTGACATGTTGCCTCCTTTAGAGTAGTGCCAAGTGGGCTGCTATAGGATAATGAGCCAAATGATAAGACTGGTGAGTAAAGATTTCTTTCTTTCCAACATTTTATTTCAGCTTTCTGAGAACTTACATATCTTTCTGATATATTCCTACCCTAAATGGCTTGCTCATAGTAGATTTTCAGTAGATGTTGAACTATGGAAACTGCTATTTTAATGTTGAATTGTGATGCTGATTTACATACCTTACAGAATTTGACCACATCTGAATTCTTGAGGTTCTTGAACATTTAGCACAGGGATGCTTAATTGTGGTTGGTTGAAGCAACCATAATCTGTTAGGTAAAGGAAACAATAAGACAGCACCAATTAACTAGTCCTTGCCATTTAAGCAAAACAAAAAAACCTAAATTGGATTCTAACACCATGAATTACACGTAATTTATAAAAGTTAATTTGTTATAGATATATATTTTAGTAGTTTCAATGTGTGTGTGTGTGTGTGTGTGTGTATACTTAACAAATTATACATGTTTAAAATATAGTTTGATTAATTTTGGCATATATGTACTCCCACAAAACCATCACTATCAAGACACAGAACATTTCTGTCACCTCCAAAAGTTTATTCATAGCCTTTGGTCTTTCTCCCTGTCTGGCCCATCCCAAAGCAACAACTACTCTTTTATCAGTATAATTTGCATTTTCTAGAATTTTATCTAAATTGAATCAAACAGTGTATTATTTTTTTGTCAGGCTGTTTTTATTCATTGTAATTATTTCAAGATTAGTATTTATCATTGCTTATATCAATAGTTCATTCCCTTTTACTGTTTTCCATTGTATGGATATACCACATTTATCCATTCACATGTTGGTGGATATTTTGATTGTTTTCAGCATCTGGCTATTAAAAATAAAGCTGCTGTGAACATTTGTGAATAAATTTTTTATGGATAAATATCTAGGAGTAGGAATGGCTAAGTTATCTAAGTTTTAAAAAAATGTACCCAACTGTTTCCAAAGTGGTTGTATTATTTTGCATTCCCACCAGGAGTGTATGTTGAGTACCTATCTAACAGGAATTGACTTTCAGTGTCTCAATATTTTGCTTCTTTATATTTTGATGGTTTTTTAGTTGTTTCAGGCAGAAGGGTATATCCTTCTTATTTCATCTTGTCTGGAAACTGTAGTCTTCATTTTTTTTCCAGTGAAATGATTAGCATATGACTTGGGAATGACTTCAATAAAACCTTAAGTGAACTTACAGCTACAACTGCTAACCTGAAGATTATACAGATTTAATGTATTTTAGGAAGTGTATACTGAGTATAGTAAAAAAAAAATAATAAATAAATAAAAAGAATATAGTAAGGAGTATATAGTAAACCATACTTTTTTGAAGGGTCTATGGAATTTCTTTCAATGTGGTGGGATAGTTTTAGGGAACATTTTAACTGATTCAGATATCAGAATTAAGATAAACTCACTGGAAGGAATTTTACTGTGACGTGAGAAGTATTTATATGCAGTTTTCATATTCTGTTTTTAAAGCTTGAGTTTTAAAAAGAACTTTATTAATTTTTCAGGCATATTAATGAGGATAAGAGGAAAACTGAAGCTCAAAAGCAAATTTTTGATGTTGTTTATGAAGTAGATGGATGCCCAGTAAGTGTTCATCTTTGGTGATTGTTGATTTATTTCCTCCTTCTTGTTTAGATTCTAGTTTTAATATAAGCAGATTCTTGGCACTGCTTTGTTTTAAATTGTAACTTTAAAAAAATTCCTTGCTCCCAAGTGATCTATTATTTTCAATCTCTACAGGCTAATCTTTTATCTTCTCACCGAAGCTTAGTCCAACGAGTGGAAACAATTTCCCTAGGCGAGCACCCCTGCGACAGAGGAGAGCAAGTAACCCTCTTTCTCTTCAGTGACTGCCTGGAGGTAAAGTTGTGCTTGGTGTAATATAATGCTACTGCCCTGTGCGATGTCCTTGAATGTTTAAAACCAAGCTTTGATTAAAGTATTATATAGAAGTTTAAACTAAGTAAACTTAATCACAGTTTTTTGATTGAGACCAATTGTTGATTTAATACTATTTTATTATTGGAATGCTTTTAGAAGAAGACCTAGTATTAAGAAGTACAATAAATTTTCATGACTTCATATAGTCAGGATGAAAATTTAGTTTATTTCCATGCAAATAATGCTTAAGTCAAGAATTTTAAGAACTTCTTATTTCTATGTATATAAGAGATGTAAAAAATAATTATGAGTTTATTTTGAAGTTTAAGTAGATTTTTCCAGCAAAGAAGTCAGTATTTTATTGAAAAGTGAGAGAACTTGATTATTTAATATCATGAATTATATTCCCTGATTCATCCTTAAGTCAGCGGGGTTTTGAGTGAGTGAATTGTCAGTATATCGGATGGCAGGAAATGATTCTAATTCTAAAATTCTAATCTAAGTTAAATTTTTTCTCTCTCATTCCTACAGGCTAACTGAATTATATTTGTGTGCTTTTTCAACTATTCTTTCATTCTGTTAATAGTGTTTTTTTAAACATTAAAATAGCCTAATGGGAGGTATAAAGGAGTGTATTTTCCTTCTCAGGAGTTAAAACTGTTCATTTTGATAAAATGGATATTAATGAACCAGAAAACTAATTTGACATTTTTGTATTGGGTATCTTTCTGTTGCTTTCATTAAAGTGATTTGATGGGTTTCCTTTTTTTTTTTTTAAGTCTATACCACTTTCTTTTTTCCTTTTCTACTTGTCTTCTAGTGTTGTGCTCTTGTATCATGTATATTATTATAAAATATGAGAGACTCTTAGAGAATAAGTCATGCCCAGTCACCAGAAGCTCACTTGTGTTAAATGCAGTTTTGTTGTGAGGTTAGTGGAAAAAAAAATATTTTCATTTGTTCAGGAATGTTACAAAACACAAAAGTAACGGCAGTAAAAATACTGTACACAGTTAATCATACCCAGAACTGAGAAAGTTATAAAAAATCATGAGGCAGGTAATTCTAACTACTTGTCTATTCCATAATAAGAAATTTTGGCTGCTCTGCTTTTGAGAACAGGAGCTAGGTGGAGTCAATTATCAGTCATATTTTACCTCAGTTTTACTGGCTGTCCATAGTTGCTCAGTACTTCTATTAGCTTCTGCTAAAGGTTTTTTAGGATTTTCTTGTTGAAGTCCCTTGGTCAACTGGCTCCATTTATCTAATTGGTTAGGTTATCTCTACTTCCCTGCTAATCCATAATCGTGAGAGAGTTGTAGCTAACTTTAAATTTTTTTATCTTATCTCCCCTTCAAATTCTGTGAAGCCTTCTATAACTGGCTCATTGACTTACCTTCCACTTTAATTCCTGCCATTTGTCATTCCCTGTAGCTTCCAGTCGATTATGTAATAACCTGGCCTCTCATTTCATTTACCAGTGACTTTTTGTTCTACTCTCTCTTAGCTTTCCTGTCTCAGAATCACAATAACTGAAACAGCTCCATTTCTGACATTAAATTTGGACGTAAAGATTTATAATCCTAAACTCTCATTCTTTAGCTTGTTTAAAAAAACAAACAGCCCTGGCCAGATAGCTCAGTTGATTAGAGTGCTGTCCCAATTTGACAAGGTTGTGGGTCCAATCCTCGGTTAGGGCCCATATAAGAATCAGTGAATGCATACGTAAGTGGAGCAACAAATTGATGTTCCCTCCCCCCCTTCTCTCCCTCCCTTCTCTCCCTCCCTTCCTCTCTATAATATAAATAAATTAAAAAACAAACAAACAAAAAACCAAACTTCTTAGCCAATTTGAAATGAAGAGTATGGTAAAAGTTAGAAACATTTAAAATGGGTAAAATCTATATTGACTTCTCCTAAATATGGCAGGTAATGTTTTACTGAAGCTAAGCTAATTTAGTATTTAATAATGTATTTTCCTTTTTATATTTTATTTGCGTTTCGAACTTTTTACCTTGACACATACCTTGATATGTGTCATTAATATTGACATTTGTCATTGTTTTTCCTTTTAAAAGTGAATCTTAAAATTATTTATTTTGCTTAACCAAATTAATTTTAAAGTATATTTAAATATAAGTGGAAATATTTGTCTTTTGCTTGTTTTCACTACATTAATGTAAATGAACTTTTAATATTTAATATATAATAAATAGATCTGTGTCATATTTCTGCTTCAGTAAGACTATAATACTTGACTGCCTTTTGTTCTTTTTTCTAATAAGCCAACACTAGGTAGGTATGCTTTTCAGCCATTCTTTGTCATATTCATGATAGTGACCAGTTAATCTCAATTCATTAAGTAACCTAATCTAATACATTTTGTGTAAATGTCTTTCAGTTGATGATTATAACCTCAAAAGAGATGTTCTTTTAAAAAGGCTAAATAATGTATCAGACTTTTGTGGGAATGAAAACAATAAATTTAAAGACCTTACAAAATTCACAGAACTCAGGTACATCATGAATCACAGGGTCTTTTCTGATTTTACCCCTGGCTTTTCGAGCATTACTTTACCTATCTCTTCCTTTTGCGTGAATCCCCAATTTAGGTAAAGTTATATCTTAAAACAGCACCTTGATTTTAAAATTGGTATCATTTGTTTAATGTATTTTTTAGTTACCTTTTAACTGTCCTTCTTTCTCAGTGGTGTAAAAATTTGAGAGGCAGAACCATTTCTGTGTTATTTACTCCTTTATTCTCAGGACCTAAGATAATTGTGCATTCTGCTCTTAAACTGATATCAGTTATCTTTTGAATCTAATACAGAGGTCCCAGAGCAACTATTTTCCTTCCTGAACTCAAGAAGATTCCTCAGGTCTTTAATTCTATTGCTTCCACAAAGCTTCTAAATTTTTTCCCACCTCTAGGATTTTTTGCATTGATCCTTTGGCCTGGTTTCCTGATTTTTGAACTCTTATATAAACATGAGCATATCTATTACACAATTACATGTATGAATTTTTTTACATAGCTTCTTATCCCTTAGTCTGGAATAGCTAATAGTCAAATGAGCTGATTTATGTGATTAGTGCCATTTTATTTTTTGATATTTTGTCTTTGTTTTTATTCATATTACTTATAATGACTTAATGACTTTTTTTCTTTCTTTCTATAATCAGATAGCAAGAAAACGCCACAAAGTTATTGGCACTTTTAGGAGTCCTCATGGCCATACCCGACCCCCAGCTTCTCTTAAGCATATTCATTTAATGCCTCTTTCTCAAATTAAGAAGGTGCTGGACATAAGAGAGACAGAAGGTATGCTTATTGGATAAACTTGGCTGAATAAAAGTAGTTGATATTCATTGTAGGTTTGATTCACTCCCTTATGTTTTACTGATAAGTGCTAAATTATCTTTACATATAGTTGGTTAGTTCTGGTAAAGGAATTGTTCTTATACTTCTATCCCAGCTCCATCTCTAGTAACTGACATAATTTTTGATTTTTTTCAAATAAAAGTGTTATCTACCCTAACCTAGCCTGTTCCCACACCAAAAGAATTATTTCTTCAGAATCCAAAAGAAATCACCAGTCCATTACTTGTGCTTTGCATCTTATACTTTCCCTGCTGCCAATGGCCGCATTGTTAAGGATACAGTTAGGATATGACCAAGAATAGATATGTATGAGTAAATACACCCAAAGTAACTATGGCAGTCTTGACATGGAGTTAAATGTGTATATTAAGGGAAGTTTTTACTCTCAACTTTGGTAGTGATAGGAAGGGTTCTCTGAAGGCCTGAAATTGCCAGAAGTTTATCATCAAAACAGTATCATTTGTTTAACTGGCACCTAGTGATGTGTCTGCATGGCCATATATTAGATGTTAGGTGTATGTTTTCACGGTATAAGCTGGTTCCATTACTGATCCCATCCTCTAATGATGAAAGGTTTTGAGTTAATAGAAACAATTAAAGAAAAGTTGAACATTAACTTATATTGCCATCTTTACTCAGTTGTCAAATTTGAATTATTAAGGGTAATGTGCATTTATTTTAAATCGTTTCCATATTTTTGGATTATAATAATGGAAGACTACATTGTTTAAAATAAGTTCTGCATCTTGGTCACAGAACATTTTGTAACAGTTTTAATATTTGAACATTTTGTTTCTTTGAACTTGATTTAAATAGGTTGAGTTTTAAATTATTCTTATACTGCCATTTTATTTTAAAACTCAGATTCTAGGATTCTAAGTAATGATACATTCAAATTGTTTAAAAACTCCATCATACAAGTATTAAACATCATGGAAGATACTGTTTACGGAATGTCAAATTATCATTGTTGATTCCTCATATGGTACTTCTAACATTTCAATGTAATGTGGTGATATTCTTTGTCCAGTTAAAAATAGAGAGGGTGGGGAAGGTGGAGAAAAGATTATTTCATTGGAATATTGGTGGTCTGAGGGGACTAAACTTGCATAAACCTATAATTTTCCAAGAATAACACTTAAGGTTTATGATTCTGGAACCCTAGATTGCCATAATGCTTTTGCCCTGCTTGTGAGGCCACCGACAGAGCAGGCAAATGTGCTGCTCAGTTTCCAGATGACATCAGAGGAACTTCCAAAAGAAAACTGGCTCAAGATGCTATGTCGACATGTAGCCAACACCATTTGTAAAGCAGATGCTGTAAGTTCTTAAGCTATCATAATGAAAAGTTAAAACTCCATGGTAGTGCACAAGCTAACCCTGTACATTCCTAATGACTTGTTAATGGTGAGTATAGGAGAGTTTCAGTTTTGTGTGTATTATAGAAAAGCTCGTTTAATAAGTTGATTTGGAAAAGATATTTTAAAAGTATAGACACAGGAAACATTTCGAGTTCTTAGTTTACGGAAAGGCCCTGATAACCTATAGCTCCTATGGCTCTGCTTTAGTAAGGCTTTTTGGACTTGTACTCTGTGATTTTCATCAATGGCTTTTTGACCTGGCGTTTGTAAAACAGAGGGTATTCTATTCTGCTGTTCCTTTATCTCGCTGAAAGCAGTAATGAGTTGTAGCAAGTAGCTTTTCCTATCAGGCAAGTAGCCAATCCAGTTTTCTCAGTCCAGCCTCTTAAAGTCAAATGTCATTGTGAATATATACAAATAGAATATATAATTATCTTTATCCTATACAGATTAACATGAAGATATATGAAAAATTCAAATTATCGAAGTTAAGTGATTTACCAGAAATCAGGTAGCCTATAGTAGCTCTTGGATAAAATATAGGTCCCTTAAAAGATAATTTTTTCATCATTAATGGGAAGACTGTGATAGATACAGACCTTCATCTTTGCACAAATAACATAAATTTATTAACAAAATTCATTTGTTAATAGAATTATACTTTTGATATTAGAGGTTAGAAATCTGTAATGGCTTCAGCAAAGCTACCATCTGACCTCAGGTGATATGTGAGCCTTAAGAGTATGGACAATGCAATTAAAGGTTACAATTTGGCAAGGGACTGAAAATACATACCTAAGTATTCTGAGAAAAAATTTTCAACAGATTAAAACTTTAACCTTTAAATTTGAAATGACAGAATATGGGGCATCATATCCACAAGGAGAAAAACTCTGAGGGGTTTAACCAAGAATAAGAAAACCTGGAATCTAATGTCCGCTTTACACTCTTGACCTTAGTTTCACATGTAAAATAATGATATGAGAGTAATTGTTCTTTCAGCCTGAAAACTTTAATTCTTAAGTCACTTATAAATGTGCATGATGAATGAAATTAGTCCAGAATAAAATAATTATACTTAGTTTAATCTTAATTAAGTTTTAATTATTTAGGGCACCAAAAGATTCATAATAGGACAGAGACTACTGGTTCAAAGAATCAGATTTTTATCTTTCACATCTTTTGTATATATATATTTAAAAATGCTCTCTCTTCAACATGGTAAATGTTCTCAAATGATAAGACATGTACAAATAATAAGAGGAGAATGTATTTTTTTTAAAAAAATATCTTTATTTGAATTTCAGAGAGAGGAAGAGAGAGAGAGAGAGAGAAACATCAGTGATGAGAGAGTCACTGAATGGCTGCCTCCTGCACGTCCCCCACCTGGGGATTGTGCCTGCAACCTGGGTTTGTGCCCTGACCAGGAATCAAACTGTGATCTGGATCCTAGGTCAGTGCTCAATCACTGAGCCACGTCCGACCAGGCAAGAGGAGAATGTATTGACAGATGACCCTTTTCAGTGCAGTAGTGCTGTAACTGACATTGCCTTGGACATTCCTCTGACAGTAAAATTTTTTTTTAATCATAGTTAAGTCTTCTTCTGAAAGACATTGAGGTCTAAATTATTATGGTTTATAAAGTAGATAATATTTGACTAAAAATCCCTACCTAAATGTTAAGAACAGTTAATAGACTTTTTGATTTTTTTTTGTTTTTAAGAATTTCTATGGACCAAAAATATGTGGTTGTAAATAAAGGTTGGTTGTTCTACAAAAAGTTTATAGAGGGAATACAGTATTAATGCATAAAACAGAATGCTGGTTAGAAAAATGATGGAGACAGTTTTTGTTATAGAGCTTACAAAACTGCTGATTATAAGGAAGAATATTTTTTCATAGTTCTAGGCATCCGTATATAAAATGGATCCTTGCAATATAGTGCTTGCCTTTTTTAGAAATTACTCCTGCATTTATTATGATGTTTGGACTTGATGGCTTATGCAGTCCTTTCTGAATTTATAACTATAAAACCAAAGCATGAAAAGTTAATGGAAAAATTTTCTTAAAATACAATCTATTGAATTATTAGCCACAGATGGCTAATAATCCTAGAATTCAAATATAAACAACTAATGAAACAAATTTCATAAAATAAAATTAGCCACAAGATGGCAGCAAACATTTAACTATGTCCTGATTTATACTGTCTTAAACAGAATTTTTTCAAGTTGTGAAATTTTGTTACTAAGAAATATGTCTGTAAATTCACATAATGACTTCAGTTGAGATCTTTCTCACATTTAAAACACTGCACATAGTAAATTTCTTAAAAGCCCCGAGTCATTGTCTTATCATTTGAGAGAGCATTAGCTATGTTGAACAGAAAGTATACAAAAGATGTAAAAGATAAAAATCTCTGAGTCTTTGAACCAGTAGTCTCTGTCCTATTATGTATCTTTTGGTTCCCTAAATAATTGGAGCTTAAATAATTAAGAGTAAAATAAGTTTAACTATTTTATTCTAGGCTAATTTTATTTGTGATGCTCATTTGTAAATGACTTAAGAATTAAAATTTTCAGGCTGAAAGAACACTTACTCTCATATCATTATTTTACATGTGAAACTAAGGCCAAGAGTATAAAGCTAACAGATTCTGGGTACCTTGTTCTTGGTTAAACCCCTCAGTTTTTCTCCTTGTGGATATGATGTCCCATATTCTGTTATTTGGAGTTTAGTTGCTTCATTTAAGGTTAATTTTGGTTAGTGGTTCTTAGCCTCTTTGAAACCTTTGAATCCTTTCAGAATGTGATATAAACTATAAACCTCCTCAGAAAGATGGCTTTTGCACATAGGTACACACAGAATTGTGCACATAATTTAAGAGGGGGTGCATACTTCCTGATTTCCATGCATTGCCACTTCTAGGAACTCTTGATCACAGGTTCAGACCTCCGATTTAGAATTCCTCTAGATGCTAATTGAGGATGAATGGGAAAAGTTAGGAGAAAGTTTAAGTTTAAATTTGATTTTTTTCAAGGAAAGTGTGATACTGATTTTGAAGCATATAAATTATGCTAAATTTCTAACTTGTTAGTTTTAGGGTTGTTTGTACCATTTTATATTCAGCTTTTTTTCCAGTTGCTTTGGTTTCCATTGTCCTTGCAATAAATTTTCTGTTTACTGAGTGTTTGTTTTCCACTATCCTCAAATTAGTACATTTTAGAATAGAAATTTTATTAACACATCAAAAATCTTGGTAGCTTCATTTATATATACTCCCATATGTAGCTAAGTGTTTAAAGGTTTGATTTTTAAAAACAGTTGTGTATTTTTAAAATGTTTATTTTTTTCAACAGGAAAATCTTATTTACACAGCTGATCCAGAAACCTTTGAAGTAAATACAAAAGACATGGACAGTACTTTGAGTAGAGCATCTAGAGCAATAAAAAAGACTTCAAAAAAGGTGAGTCTTAGTGGCGTTATTTAACATACCTCCAAGAAGCATTTTTCAGAGTATATTAAAATAATATTGCCAGAAACACCAGTGTAAAGATAGTCTATAAAAACAAAGTTGGTTTTGGGGTCTAGGAAGTGGCCCACTAGGATAATAGTTTTAGTTTAGTGAATTCTTTTGCACAGTAATTACAACCTGCTATCCTTCGTATTGTTCTAGTGATACTTCTATGAGCTCTCTACTTTAGTAGAAATGCACCGATGGTATTTTAGATACAGATTTGTGTGCGTTGATCTTGACTGGTGCCTTGGATATTGTTCAGCCAAGGGCACATGGCAGAGGCAGAAGACCTGCGGTCTGTTCCTGATCACAGTGTGTTTTGGCCTTGCAACATGGAGATAACGTCCTTGCATACCTTACCAGGGTTATCGAGGAGGACGCAAGAGTGCTTGTGACAGGGCTTTTTAAAAGTACAACTAGAATTTTGACATTCTAGGTGGAATTTGCAGCCATGGTCTACTGCTGGATTTACAAATTTCTGTTGTTTTTGCTTTTGAGGGGAGGCCTTGTACTTTAATCATCTTTATATCTCCCAGCAATTAACATGTATGATATATAGTAAATAAACATGTTAAATGGTGAGTCAAATGAACTCCTTCACTTTTTTGGTAAAGAAATTGAGGTTCAAATGGCTTTGGATTAAAGATCTCTTAAATAAATTTTAGCGGAATCAGACCAAAAACCCCATGTTTCTTCTCTCCCACACCAGGTTTATCCTTGCACTTTCTTTCTCCCATTTGTAGTGCTCTATGAATGGAAGTATACAGCAGATCTTTAGATAGTGTTCAATGTTGTTTCATTATAATGTTGATGAAAATGCTGTAGGAACTAAACTTGTTTATATCAATTGGCCTGTGGTAAAAGTGGTTTTGTTAAATGTCATTTCACTTGAAGTCACAGAACATATGGACGACCATGATGTTGAGTAAAGACTTACTGTACTACATTTCCTCAGTGCTTTGCCCAAAGAAATTCTAATTCTTTGATATACTATTTGTTAATTGTTCTTATCAATTATATTAAATTTCTTTAGGCTTAATTGTAACTTTTTAAAACTCCAGGTTACAAGAGCATTCTCTTTCTCCAAAACTCCAAAAAGAGCTCTACGAAGGGCTCTTATGACATCCCAAAGTTCTGGGGAGGGAAGAAGTCCTCTTAGCAGTGATAAGCATGTAATGAGTCGCCTGTCAAGCACATCGTCATTAGCAGTAAGTGACTTTGACTTAATGGGCTAATTGACTTATTCACATTTATGGAAGTTGGTATGGAATTTGCTAATTTTAAACATGAATATCTAGTATCTCCATTTTTATTTTATTTTTTTTAAATATATATTGATTTCAGAGAGGAAAGGAGAGGGAGAGAGAGAGATAGAAACATCAACGATGAGAGAGTCATTGATTGACTGCCTCCTGCACGCCCCCGACTGGGGATCGAGCCTGCAGCCCGGGCATGTGCCCTGACCCGGAATCGAACTCCGATCGCCTGGATCCTAGGTCGATGCTCAACCGCTGAGCTACGCCCAGCTGGGCTCCATCTTTTTTTTTTTTATATATATGTCTTAACTTCTAACATCTTTTATTGGGTCAAGGTAACTGAGAAAACCTCAATGAACTAGAGATNTCCATCTTTTTTTTTTTTATATATTTCTTAACTTCTAACATCTTTTATTGGGTCAAGGTAACTGAGAAAACCTCAATGAACTAGAGATAAAGACATACTTAATATGTAGTTTATTTGATATGAAATTTTATTCAGATTGAGATGTGTTCTAAAATCTCTAAAGAAAAAAAACATGTTTCAATCTGGCCTATCACTTTACTAACATAAATAGCAATGGTTCTGTTTATACAGATTGGTTCCAGTAATATAACAGAGACTGAGTTTTATTCATTTTACTATTTCTGTGATGAGTAGGATATAATTTCTGAAACTGTGACCTTCAGAGGATGATATGGGTTCTAAATTCGTGTATTTTTAAATGTTGTCTGAAAAATACAAATTCCCAATGGTGTTAGAATTATTAGACAATATTAAAGACAGTTCTAACATTTATTACTGTCACCTGGTATATGAGTGATGTGTCCTTGTAAAATTATTACCCTGACCTGCTAAGGTTAAGAAAAGCAAGTGACTATCACTCACTTATATGTCCTTTAGCAAGTTTCTTGTTCTCTTATCCCCATTTTTGTAGATAGGGAAAAGAGATTAATAGTACTTACCCTATGGTGTGTGTACACACACACACACACACACACACACACACACACACACACGAATGTGATTATATAGTGAGAGGCAGTTTGAGTTGTGGCTAAGAGCATGAACTCTAGAACTCATGTTGTTCAAATCCTAGTTCTGCTATTTACTAGCTGTATGGCTTTTGGCAAGTTATTAAAGATCACTGTTTCAATTTCACCATCTGTAAAATGAGTCTAAAGTAGTAATTGTAAGGATTAAATAAATTAATTTATGCAAAGTGCTTTGAATAGTCCCAGGCACACAGCGCGTGCTCTGGCATTATTTTCCCTCTCCTCCCCCGTCGTCTTTCATTCTCACGTTCAGCTTCCCATGGCTGCCAGAGAGAACCTCGGTCATTCCTGCTAAACCCTCGTTGATCTCCCTCCACCCTCAGAATATCAGGTCCCTCCAAGGCAGCATGCTGTGTTCCCACCCCTGTCCTCCCATATCCTTTCACTCATGTCCCCTCCCTGCCCAATCCAGCCACACTGCCTTTCTTTCCTTAAAAACACTAAGCTCTCTCCACCGAGAGGCTTTGTACTGGCTGTTCCCTGCACCAGTAATGCTCTTCTTGAACTCTTTCCATTGGGTCTTGTGGACAAAAAAGCGGTGCTGTAGTAAATCATGCATTCCTAACTGGGCAGGTTATAGTGAGCAGTCACCCCATAGGCTGCTGTAGTGTATTATAAGTGGTTACCTTTTATTATATAGAATTTATACAGACTTTGGAATCTAATGAACAAAATAAACTGACAAAATAAACCGATGAACAAAATAGGCCCAGAGGCATGGAAGCGTGGCACAGATTGATGGATCTCAGAGGGAAGGTGGGCAGAGAATAACCAAAGAACTTCGTGCGTATGTGCATAATCCATGGCCACAGACAACAGTGTGGGGCAGGCAGGCAATGAGGGATATGGGGGGCACGTGTAATGCCCTCAACAGTAAATATAAACAAAATTTTCAAAAAGCTAGTTACGTTTTTAGATAATACATTAGAGTTACAGCTGAATCTGAGCATGTTTAAATAGATTTTTTTCTTAATCCTCACCTGAGGATATGTTTTTATTGATTTTAGAGAGAGGAAGGGAGAGAGAGAGAATCATCCATGAGAGAGAAAAAAACATCAGTGTGAGAGAAACATGGATCAGTTGCTTTCCATGCCCAGGGTTTTCACCTGCAGTGTGAGCAACAGAGAACATAGGCAGAAGAATAGTCGGGGAAGGTGAGGTAAGTTTCATTTCAGGATGGTTCCATGCAAAGTCAGTGGAACAGTGGGGCATGCTTCCCGTGCCTGCCCCGACCAGGGACTGAACCAACAACGTAGGTATGTGCCCTGACCAGGAATTGAACCCAGAACCTTTTGGTGTATGGTAGGATGCTCCAACCAACGGAGCCACCGGGCCAGGGCAGAGCATATTTATACTGATATTTGATCAAGGTTAACTGTTCAAAAGGAGAAAGATTGTACTTAGCTGATAATATAAACATGCAAAGAAATTTGATCAATGAAAAGTGTATTAAAGTTGACAAATATAGTACGCATTTCTTTATTAAAATCAGATTATAAGCTTTCTGAAGGCCAAAGAACTATCCCTTGTTTATTTCCTATAGTATTATAAACATTGCTTTTCAAATGGAGGTAATTGGATTTTATAGAGATTTTTTTTAGAAAATTAATTTATATTATTTATGGTTTTGTCACTTTTATGTAGGCAATATAAATAAGAAGTACCTAAAATATCTTTCAGACATTCATGTCCTCTTCTCCATTGCTTATTTCTGTTCTAACAGATTATCCATTCAGTTTCCACAAGCAATACAATTGGATTTACTAAGCATGTTTATGCTCAGTGCTCAAACTCTACTGATGGGCACTCTCAAAGCTCCTGGTTTCCATCTATACGTCATTCTACCTCACGAGCTAGTTTTTCAGAGACACTAAAAGGAAATACTTATTTTTCAAATTTTAAAAAAAGTTCTTTCCAAGTCATCTTTGATATTTGTGAAGAATTAGGAGATATGCCAACCAATAATGGAAACAAGCCTCAAGTTTAATGTGAGCTTATTAGCTATTTGAAATTTGTGTTTGTGAAAAAAGAAAGTATTCTTTCTCCACTGAATTACTTATTAAGTGGGTGGGGACTTTTGAATTCACAACTTTATAACTGCTTTGAATTCACAACAACTAGGCTTAATAGAGTTTCTTTGCATATTGGCACACAAAGATATTTTTGCAAGGTAATTTATGAAGTCCAGGGAAAAAAAATCAATACTATTAGAAATTATCTTATTTATGAAAGTGGCCATTTTAAATAATAGTAATAATTGCCATTAAAGTGGATTCATATTCCAAATCTGATTCTTAATCTTAGATTTGTGGCATTTTATAAAACATGCTTTTAATATAGCAAATCATAAAAATTTTACTTGAGGAAAATGCAAACTTTTATACTTTCTACTTAAATCATTGCTTTGTTATTACTTGAATGGCCATACTTTATCAACACAGCTCTTTAAACGCTTCATTTTACTACCTTGTAGGTGACAACCTTGTTGGTTCTGAGTTTTCGTTACACATAGCCTTTCATATATGCTAAAATAAAGCACTAACTTTTCCTTGTAATTCATTTTGATTTATACTCACTGTTGGGTTTTTTGTATTCTTGTATATGCTTCTTTGTTATTGTTAAAAATTCTTATGATAAATTTAACTTTGACTTCTGAAACAATCAGTTTAGACATCTTAGTAATTTAATAATCTCTATTATCAGAAGTGCTGCTATTTTGCAGCAAAATTTTTAGATGGAGCAAAATTACACACATACAAATACATACATATGGGTTGCACACACAATACAAAACCTTTTTAGGAGTGTATGACTTAATTTTAGAAAATTATTTCTCACGAAGTCATTTCTCCTTAATTCTGCTTTATGATTAAGTTAAGTGGAAACCACTAGGTTTGTCTTTCACCTCAAGACTTGTTTACTAATTTATAATTTTTAAATAACCTGAAACACTAAATCATTATAATATCGCATAGAAATTAAGTAGCACTAGTAGGAATAAGCCAGTATCTATTCCAGTGAATTGATATGTAGTTAACTAGTGTACCCATTTGTTTTTTGTTTTCAGAATGCTGAAATACTTTTAATTACGTTCTCCCCTCCAATTTTAAATTCTTTTATTTATTTAAAGAGTTTAGGATTTTTAGATGTCTTTTGTAAAATGTAAAAATGATATGCATGATTCTAAACTGTATGTTACAATTTTTAAGAAGGAAAAATTTAAATATGAAACATTTGTCTTATCTTTACAGGGTATCCCATCTCCCTCCCTTGTCAGCCTTCCTTCCTTCTTTGAAAGGAGAAGTCATACTTTAAGTAGATCTACAACTCATTTGATATGAAGTTTAAAAAATCTGTATAGAAACTTAGCACCTCATACTCAAATAAGAAACTGACTTAAATAAATGGTACTTGTCATTAGCACTTGGTGAAAGCTGGAAAGAAGATGGATAACACTAAACTATGCCATTTGATTTTCTTTTTGAAAGAGTAAGGTTAACCTCATACATTTTTTAAGTTAATTTATTAAAAAATTATATTGATTTTGATGCAATTTTTCTCTTTGCTCGAAACCTTCAATTAAAGACCAATATCTTGTTATTCATGATACCAGTAGCTTTGCAACCTGATACATACAGTGAATAAATTTTATTGGTGGATGCCAAACATTGCTGTTGGTTTCTTTGTAGAGTGTCCATGAATGAATTTTGGAAATGCATATTTGTGTATCTCAATTTGTGCAGAAATTAAGTGATATCACAGTACTTAACTACATAAAACCTTGCATAGATACCTGATTAAATACTGGGGTCTTGTTTCACATGTGCTGTTTGAAGTAATTATTTAACGGCTCCTTTTGCAGTTTATTCTCAAGTGTCTTTAAGATCTAGTGTGGGGATTTAAAATGATTTGCCCTTATTACAAAGAATAACAGCACAAGGAGGTTGTTTCAAAATACTTTTGAAAATTGAGATAAGGACAGAAAGATTAAGAAATAATGTATAGTTTGGACTAACATGATATTGCTGTATACTTGTAGCTGTTTCAGAGACTATATTTATGGTGATTTTTAGCCACTAGCAAATCTTGCTTTAGTTTGATAGTGTGTGGAATGTTATTTTGAAGGATGACCATGGGGAAATTGCGGTAAAGATTGTTTATACTCTTTATGAAATAACTCTAAAGTTGGCATCAGTTTTACTAATCTGCTGTAAAATATTAAATAGATATGTTTATAGTCAAATTTTTATTGTGGTCTCATTAAATGTAAAATTGAAATACATTTATTTGCTGTTGTAAAATATTTTTCAAGCCTTGGTGTTATTTTTCACAAGAGGTTTTTTTTTTTTTTTTTTTTTTTTTTTTTTTTTTTTTAAGAAAAAAAAAAAAAAAAAAAAAAAAAAAAAAAAAAAAAAAAAAAAAAAAAAAAAAGGAAGGGG